ACAGAGGAGCTGGGAGATAAGTGGAGGGATCAAAGTAGATAGAAACTTGCTGTGACTGGTTTCTGAAAAGTGGTTTTAAATAATGACAGAATTTATGAAGTATATTTTAAAGGAATATCTCTACATTTATTTTGCTTAGGAGTGTGGTTCAGCCCTAAACTATTTATTCAGGCATATGTCCTACTAAGTTAAATGGGTGTTTCTCTTGAATGCATAGGAGATTTACCTATCTGAATTCATTAGGAAACCAGTTACTACAGTGTAAGCCATTGCAGTGAAAGAAACAAAAACAGGACAAAAAACAAAAGCCACAAAATGTGGGAGGGGTAGAAAGGGTTTGTTTTTAATCAATGAGAGGTGAGAATAAAATATGGAAGGTTAAGCAAGGGTATCTGCCAGATTTTGCTCTGAAATATAATGTTTACTGACAGAAAGGAACATCCTTCAAAGCTTCCAGAGATGCAGTTGTGTCAGCTGGCTGCACCAAGACCCTCATGGGACCTTGAAGGCTAAAAAGTTTTATTTTGCATAAGCGTTAAGGGACTACAGTCCACTTTAGGGAATGCATGGATTATTCTGAGCATGCTTGGATGAGTTGATCTAAGCAATGGGATGAGTTGGAAATGGATTGCAAAAATGCAAACCATGAATAATCCTTTAATTGCATTCATTCATATACAATAATTGGCACAGATATAGTAGTGTAAACAAGCTGATTAATACATATACTATTGTGATAAGTTGAATACATAAAGCAGAATATTTTTCTAGTTATAGTAAACGTTTAACCTTTATCACACCACCTTTCCCCCCTGCAATTCTTGCTGCTTACTCTTACATTTGTCCACCTTTTCCTTGCAAATCACATGGCAATACCATGTTTTCCTGGAAATAAGACAGGGTCTTACATTAGGGGTTATTTTCAGGGGATGTTTTATTTTTTTTCATGTACAACCATCTACCTTCATTCAAATACAGTACAGTCATGTCATCTTCTGGTTGCTGCACAATGGCAGAGGGCAGGATTTCACTAACTGGGGCATATTTCTGGGGTAGGGCTTATATTACGAGCATCCTGAAATATCCTGAAATATCATACGTTGCTGAAACTCTGGAGCATGGTGAATGTTGATGTTGTGTTGACTGGTCCAATGACTTGTTAGGATGCCATAACTCAAAAATGAGCCCTTTACAGGTACTCAGGATATAAACTATATATACTGCACTTAGGGTTTGGGTGATTGACCAGGGGGTTGATGGCCTTATAGGCCCCTTTCCAACTCCATTATTCTATGATTTTATTCTATAATCCAACAATTAGTTTTAAAATGTAAGTAAAATGTAAGTAACTACAGTTATATGCGAGCCAGTATGGAATTGTGTTAGACTAGGACTCAGGAGACAACTTCTCAAATGTCTCACATACTCCAAAAAGCCATTAGGAAGAAATGTAATAATAATAATAATAAATAATAATAATTTATTGTCATTGTAAGTATATACACATACAACGAAATTCACAGACACCCAGAGACCAGACACATGCACACACATAAAATTCCCCAAACACTCCCCACCCACTA